CAGTGCAGTGGCTGCTCCTGGCCACCGCAACCTCGACCTGCTGGGCTCCGGTGATCCTTCCGCCTCAGGCTTCCAAGTAGCCGGAATTACAGGCATGTACTACCACGCCCGGTTGATATTTTGATTTATTGTAGAGATGAGGTCTCGCTGCCCAGGCGGGTCTCGAACCTGCGGGCTCAGGCAATCCACTCACCTCAGCCTCCCAAAGGCGCGGGATTACAGGCTGAGCCACCGAGCCTGGCTGGAACTTAATCTTAAGGTTTATTCACTCTTAATTAATTTAAATATACATGTAAATAGCCCTCTGTTCTTGGTGGCAACCACAATGATAATGAATGAATGATATTATCCAAACTTGTCTCCTGAAAATACTTGCAATTCATTCTGTAAGAATCACAGGGCTGAACACTACTGCTCTGTTCTGGTGAAAAGCTCAATACAATCTAACATTCCTAACTCTAGATCTCCCGCAGGGCAACCTATTCATGTACATTTCAGTTGTTAAGAGCTGTTTCACTGGAGTTAGTTTTAGATTATTTTACTTATACCTCAATAAAAATATTTCACAGAAACACAATACAGAAAATCCTAATCCCCAAATCTACACTAAGAGGATAGCACTACCCTCCAGCATCACTTGGAATCATTCTAAATACTGAGGTGGCTCCTATAATCATCATTAACCAATGAGCTAAGTAAGGGTTGTAGACAGACTACATAAACAAGACAATCTCAAGGATGATAATATCCCTAGGAACAGAAAAAAATGACTGTAGTATATATTTTTATAAACATATGAAAAGGAAAACACACAAGTAGAAATTAACATTCAATAGGTTCCCACATTAATCAGTTTGAGGTATACAGATCAACTTCCTGCCTTAAATTCGATTAGAATATAGCCTTTCTATAGACTTTGATTTGGTTAAGGTCCATTATTTCCCCTTTATGTCCAACATTAGTACCAACCACCATTTTGATTTTCTTCATATGCAAAAAAAACCACTGTGTTTTGTTTTTCTTCCTGTGAGATTTTACTTCATGACATTCACTGCTTTCATGCCAAAGAGAAAAAAAATAATACGGTTGCTACGAAACACCGACTAGCTAGCAAGGTTCATTTACCAGTGAGGAGGTACCTCTGCATGGTGCAGTTGATGGAAAATGACAAGCTGTAAGTCTTTGGGTGAAACTCTCAAATGATCTATCAGTGCCTGCCAAGGACCCACAGTCCTCTAAATGGAGAACAGGTCTGGCATGTAAAGGAGGACTTGAGCCAGTTGGCTTTCCCTTGGCAAGGTTTCCTTAGAGAGGCTACCGTGAACCACATGCTATGAAAGAATGTGGACTGCCAAAGAAGAAGAGTGATAAGAGTGCAATAGTGGAGAGCAGGGGGGAAATACTGAGGACCAGGTAAGCAGTAGGAATGGACTCTGTGTTAGGCATACAGGTGCACAAAGGAAGTAAGATAATGTCTACATGAGACTTTAAAACTAGAAGATGCCTTAGGAACAGAATAACAGAAATGAGTCATGTGTTTCAGAAACAACTTTATTATTATAAACTTCAAAGAACCGTGAATTTTACGTGGAACCCCAATTAAACTCTGGAAAAACAAAACACATATGAACTTACCAACTTTATAGTGTACACAGCCTTCTAAATCCCCTACAGTCGTCCAGCCCTGCTTCTTCTCAACTTCTGGATCATTGTGAAGTATTTTATTTCTTAACCAGGACAAATAGTAGACACGTAACTTATCCTTTTTGCCTAGCAAAATTAATAACATTCATATTCAGAAGTAGGTATCATCATTAATAACAATGGTAATGAAAAGAAACTCCTACAAACAGTTAAATATCATTTCCCCTAAACAGTTAAATATTATTCCCCATAAGGGCACTCCTTGGTATCAAAGTTTTACCAGAAACTCAATTCAAACTATTTAGATAAACTTTTGATACCTCTACAAAATTATCATTGGGTGTAGGCCTAGGCTGGAAGAAAGGGTTTTTAAAAAAATAACAAACTCACCTTATATAGATTGATAGTATCAATAAACTGCAAAGTTAATATGAACACCTGCACAACAATCCAACCAGTAGGGCTTATAAGATACTTCCCTTTTTCTGTTTTTTTTTGAGTTGGAGTCTCACTCCATCGCCCAGGCTGGAGTGCAGTGGCACGCTCATGGCCACGCCAGCATTAACCTGCTGGGCTCAGGCAATCCTTCCATCCCAGCTTCCAAGTAGCTGGAACTACAGGTATGTGCTATCATACCTGGCTAATTTTTTGATTTATTGTAAAGATGACGTCTTGCCAAGTTGCCCAGGCTGTTCTTGAACCTATGGGCTCAGGCAATCCTCTCACCTCGGCCTCCCAGAGTGCTGGGATACAGGCTTGAGATAAGATGCTTTCACGTGTATTATGTCACCGATTCTCGAAAACCCTAGAGTAGTTAACATCTCCCATTTTACAGATTAGAACAGAAGGGCTAAATCAATTGCCTAATGCAGCAAGTTAAATCTGGTGAAAAGCAAGTTGGAGATATGTAGCACTTAAGCGGGATCACCATCTAGAAATATATAAAGAAGTCTTATAAATCAAATAGAGAGATAAGCCAATAGAAAAACTGGACAAGTCATTAGAACAGAAACTTTGCAAAAAGAAGAGATCTCACTGAATCATAAAAAGATGCTTGCTTTTTATGCATGTGTACCTCTGAATCTAAAATGTCTAGAATTAAAAAGACTGATAACAACAAAGGGCAGGTAAGGTGTAGAACAACTAGAAACTTCACAAACTAGTGCTGTAAACTACTAGAACCATTTAAAAAAATTTGGCATTATCTATTAAAGATATATGCATATCCTACATATGATCCACTAATGTCTCTAATATAAATATACATAAACAGGAATCACAGAGCCACTGTTTCTAATAGCCCCAAACAAGAAACATCAATGTCTATATCAACAGTAAAACGAGTAAGTAAACGCCTATATCAACAGTAAAACAAGTAAGTAAACTGGTATAGTCAAATATAGGAACAAAGAGAAACAAAATGCAGCTACAAACAACAAAAAAATAACGTTGAGCAAAGCCAGCAGCCACATATTCACATTAGCTTACATCAACAAGCTAAAGAAGAAAAACCCTATGATCATATCAATAGATACAGAAATAGCATCTGACAAAACCCAATTAGTGATTTAAGAAACTCTCAGAAAAATCAGAACAAAGAGGAACTGCCTCAATTTGATAAAGAAACATCTGCAAAAACCTTACAGCTAACATCATACTCTATGATAAGAAACAAATTGCTTTCCTTCTAAGATTGAGAATAAGGGAAGAATTTCCTCTCTCATGACTCCTATTAAACATCAGACTGCTAATGTAATAAGACCCCCCCAAAAAAGGAACTAGAATGTATAAGGACTGGAAAAGATGAAATAAAACTGTTCTTTGTTACCACTAGGTAGAAAATTCCAAAGAATCAATAAAAAAACTCTTGGAGCCGGGCTCGGTGGCTCAGCCTGTAATCCCGCGCTTTGGGAGGCTGAGGTGAGTGGATTGCCTGAGCCTGCAGGTTTGAGACCCACCTGGGCAACTTGGCGAGACCTCATCTCTACAATAAATCAAAAAATCAGGCGGGCATGGTAGCGCATGCCTGTAATTCTGGCTACTAGGAAGGCTGAGGTGGATGGATCGCCGGAGCCCAGCAGATCAAGGCTGCGAAGGCCAGGAGCGGCCACTGCGCTCCAGTCTGGGTGACAGAGTGAGACTCCAACTCAAACAAACAAACAAACAAACAAACAAACACCATTCGGAACTAATAAGCAATGATAGCAAGGTTGAAGGATATAAGCTTAATAATATACAAAAGTGAATCACTTTCCCATATACCAGCAACAGATAATTAGAATTTTAAATTAAAAATACAATACCATTTATACTGTCACTAAAAAAAATCCCAAGTATAAATCTAACAAATCAGCCCTTTTCTAGTTCTATTTAAGGAAAATGACAAGACTGTGATTAAAGCAATCAAATGATTAAATAAATGAAGAGATATTTTCCATGTTTATGGATGGAAAGACTCAAGATATCAGTTCTTCCCATGCTTATCTATAAAGTCAATGCAATTCCAATCAAAATCCCAGTGACTGATATTGTGTGTATCAGTAAACTTACTCTAAAATTTATACGGAGCGACAGACACAACACAGTTGACACAGTACTAAAAAAGAACAAAGTTGGAAGACTGAAAGTACCTGCCTTCAAAGTTTACTATAAATCTACAGTAAACCAGGCCTTAAGACAAGAGATCAATGGAACACAATAGAACTGCAGAACTAAGAACTAAGCCCAAGCCGGGCTCGGTGGCTCAGCCTGTAATCCCACGCTTTGGGAGGCTGAGGTAAGTGGATTGCCTGAGCCTGCAGGTTTGAGATCTGCCTGGGCAACTTGGCGAGACCTCATCTCTACGATAAATCAAAAAAATTAGCCAGGTATAGTAGTGCGTGCCTGTAGTTCCAGCTACTGGGAAGGCTGAGGCGGAAAGATCGCCAGAGCCCAGCAGGCCCGCTCCTGGCCACGGCACTCCAGTCTGGGTGACAGAGTGAGACTCCAACTCAACAACAACAAAAAAAGAACTAAGCCCAGAAATAGAACAACACAAATTTAATGGTCATCTTCAACAAAGGAGCAAAGGCAATTCAATGAGGCACATGAGAGGAAAGTCTTATTAAGAAATGTTGTTGGAACAACTAGATATCCATGTGCAAAATAAAATAAAAATAAATCTATATAAACTTTGAAACCTTCACAAAAATCAACTTAAAATTGCAATCTAGATACGAAACACAAAGCCATATATCTTCTAGAAGATGTCAAAGGAAAATCTAGGCTACTTTGGATTTGGCAATGACTTTTAGACATAATACCAAAAGCACAATTTATGAAAGAAAAAAAAACTGGTAAGTCTGACTTCTTCAAAATTAAAAACTTCTGTTCTACAAAAGACATCATTAAAGAGAATGAACAGACAAGTCACAAAGTGGGAGAGAAAATACTTGTAAAACACATGCCTGATAAAAGTTATATATCCAAAATAACAACTCTTAAAACTCAACAACAAAACAACTCAATTACAAAATTGACTAAAGATCTGGACCCAAAAATACAAAGATGGCAAATAAACATGTGAAAAGATGCTCAACATCATATATCATCAGGAAATTGCAAGTTACAAGGAGCTATACCTATTATATTCCATACACCTATCAAGATGGTCAAAACACTAAAAAAGTCTACCTTAAAAAAACAAAACAAAACACGAAGCAGCCACCAGTGGAATACATATCATTTTACCATTTATAATTTCAGTTCAATGAAGACAAAACCAATCTAAGGTGTTCAAAGTCAAGATAGTGCCTCCCTCTGGGGCAGTGCCTGGGTGGCAGCACAGGACAGCTTCTAGAAACTGGGAACGTTCTGTTTCCTCACCAAGGTGGAGCTACATGGATGGATTCTATTTGTGACAGTTCACTGAGCTGCATACTTGCCCTTGCGATTTCTGTATGTGTCATACCACAACCCAAGTCTTTTAACTTCTGAAGAATTTTTGTGGGAAAATACATAATGTATGTTAAGTAAAGAAAAAGTCCACACCGTTTTATGTATGATGTTTTGTTCTCATAGTGTGAAATATGTTTATAGAAAAGAGGAGAGGGAAATACAAAATGTTAACAAGAGTTATCTCTAAGATGGGTGACATTTATTTTATTTTTTCTAAGTATTCTTTTTTTTTTTAATGTTTGGAGTTCCCTAAAATTGACATATTTTACTTTTATGATTGTGAAAACCATTAGACATTACTATTTAGAAAAGAAATACAACAAAGTAAACCAAAAATATTCACTGATTATTGATTCCCATGAATTGTCTCATTTTGCTGGATCACAAGAAAAAGCTTAATCCTATAGCTGCAGATTTTTTTTTTTTTTTTGAGTTGGAGTCTCACTCTGTTGCCCAGGCTGGAATGCAGTGGCACACTCACTGCCACCACAGTGTCAATCTGTTGGGCTCCAGCAATCCTTTTCCTCAGTCTTCCAGGTAGCCGGAACTACATGCACATGCTACCACACCTGGCTAATTTTTGATTTATTGTAGAGGCGAGGTCTTGCCAAGTTGCCCAGGCTGAAGATTTGTTGTTTTTAATCCAATTTTGAAAATTACCCCATCAATATTCAAATTTTAAATGGCTATTTTCTCATTTAAGTATAAAATAGTGAAATGTTTGCATTTCAAAAAACTGCTTTCAACCAAAAGCATATATGAAAAGTAAAACAACTGTGCCAGCCACAATGGTTCATGCCTGCAATTGCAGCACTTTAGAAGGTAGGAGGATCACTCGAGCCCAGGAGTTTAAGACCAGCCTAGGCAACAAAGTGAGACATCACCACTACAAAAAAATAAATAAATAAAAATAGTGGGGCATGATGGTGTACATCTGTAGTCTCAGCTACTCAGGAGGCTGAGGTAGAAGGATTGCCTGAACCCAGCACACTGAGGCTGCAGTGGCTGTGATCATGTCAAAGCTCTCCAGTCTGGGTCACACAGACAGACCTAACTAAAAAAAAAAAAAAAAAAAAAAAAAAAATGTAAAATAACTGCAAACACATCTGTTATATATAAAGAAACATAAGCTTGCACTAGCAGATAATTAAATCAAAACCATTGGCTATATCATAAGACCCATTTAAAGTCTTAAATACTGCATAACCTTTGACCTACCAGTAACACAAATTACTAGAAAATTATAATTTGTGCAACATGGTATATGCCCAAAGGTTAAGCAAGCTACAAAGATCTTTATAAGAAATGTCTACATGAAAGAAAAAAAGGAATTAACCTAGAGGGCAACAACAAAAGAAAATAAATTGTACCACATCTATGCAAGGAAATATTCTCTAGTCATGTAAAATAGATACCATGGAGGTATGCCGAACAGCATGGAGCAAGCAGACTACCTAGTTTGGACAATCAGGCACGGATGGGATATTCCTAACTTCAGGACAGTGGTTGCCCTGAGTGGGCAGATGGGGAGGGGACACTTGTTTAAACTAGTCAGTCAGTACATGGATGCCATTCTACCTCATCATTACTCTGTATCTGTCTGAAATATTGTATAACCATTTGTAAGCAGATTTTCTTCTTTAAGTGTATATAATGAGTATGGTGTATGCTTAAGAGATTGGAAGTTTAAAAACTTTTTGAAGCTAACAGATATGCTATCTCTGAATGATTTTAATTTTTATTTCTCCGAGTTGCTTTTTGGCAGTGGTTTCTTACTTTCTGCAATAAACATATATTATCTAATTTATGCTAAGAAAAATGCTCTTTTTAAAAAGAAGCTTACAGTGTTAGGTGTTCACTGATATAAAAATAAAAAACACAATATAATACTTTTACAATAATGGCAAAGAATAGTTCCTTTTGCATGTGAAAGTCCGGTGGGAGGGAACGGACACAGACCTGTGCAACGGGTAAGGAACATGAGGCCTAACAGGCCACAGGGCAGAGAGGGCGGGGCGTGTGGGAGCCACCGAGAAAGCACACATTCACATGTCCTCAAGACTGCTGAACATATCTTCCTCTTACACGACTGTAAGATAACGACACAGATGTATCTCAGAGGATGCGCTAACTAAAGTTTAGCATGGAAAGGTAAGATATTTTTAAACCGCGTCATCCTTTGCTTTACTAAATCAACACTTACCAGATATTGTCACCAAAACGTTCAAGCCCTCAAGTACATCCATTTGTTGAAATCGTCTTCGGTTGATAAGAGGATATACCTTCCCTTGGCCACTTCTGTCCAGCAGCATCAGGCCACTCTCTGTACCAACAAGCAAATTTACTCCTGTTTCAGGAATACAGAAAAACCTCATTTTTATGGGGTACTTGGCAAAAAAACAGGTTGTATGGAAAATATAACACCATCTACTTGGAAAAAAAGTATAGTTTCCTTAATTCATGCAGAAAAAGAAATGCTTAGAACAGTCAGATGCTAAAGCAACCAAGCCACCAACCAACACATCACTGTATAGGAGTGATGCAGACATAGTTATTTAAACATTCTAAGAAAGGACATGAGGGAAAGAACAAGGAAGCCTCACTGCCTCGACTTTCTTAATAATCCATCAGTTTCCAGTTCTTAGTCTCCACAGAATGTTACAAACTATTTCGTGGCTTTACAGATTCTTAATCTAATTAGTCACATTACACAGTTGCACAAATCGTCACCTGACACCATGGTCTCTTTTGTGCTTCCTTTATCTTTCACTGGCAAACTTTTAGAATGAGCCATACATTGCGCACACTCACTCTCGCTCGCTCTCTCTCTCTCCCCGCCCCCATTTACTTTCTAAATAAACTATACTTTCCCAACTAACTTCTGTGCAATTCTTTGCAACTGTCGCATGGCACCAGATCACAGACACCATCCCCCAGCGGGTCTGCCCCAACAAAGTCTAACTAATTCCATAATGCTACTGCACCTCTTAGCTTTTCCACCAACTACAGATTTCGACAGAAACCAGCTTCCGACTTTTAGCATTTCTATCAAAAGCACCACTCTTCTACAGCTGCTGCACAAAACTAGCTAAACTGGCCACCAAACCCAGCTAAGTTCTCTTCTTCTCTGTCCCTCCTTTCCGTTGTGTCTGCTCTCAGAATGCTTCAGGCTTTGGCAACCTTATAACTGAGGCACAGAGACCTTAACGGAGGTTGTTAAAACAGCCTCTCTCTGCTTTCTCATGACTACACATCAAATCAATCCTCATCTTCCTAAATGCTCATCAGGCCAAGCTGTGTCTTCAAGAACTACATACTCCATGGGGGAGGAGCTCCAAAAGCCCCACACTGGCATTCAAACCTCTCTGTCCCTTAAAAGCCATCTTACTTCTTCCTCTTAATCATCCACTTATCTTCTCATATGCTCTTGGTTCCCTCATTGTCTAAATCACCTTTGCAATAGGTAGCACAGATTACCTTGTATTCCCTAGGGAAAGGGGCACGTATGTGTTTGTGTTGATTTCCTAAACAAGTAATAAACTCACTGAGACAAGAAATAAAGTATTTGTGCTTTTAAAACAAAGTTAACCAATGTTTTCAAGTAGATAGAATGACGGGGAAAAAACAACATGGCACACGCACTCACACACACTCACCCACACCCAGTTTCCAGAGAATGTGAAGGTGACAAGAGGAGAGCCCTCCCAGAGCCCTCTCTCAGACTGTGCCTGGTGCAGAACAGGAATCACTCCAGCATTTGGAGGACAGGGTCTACCCAAACAACGCTTGTATGGAAACCAGAAGCACCACTTGGGATCCCGGGGGAAAGTGGGGAGCTTGGAATTGGCATATATATTTACTATCACTACTCTGCCAACTTGAATAGAACTGCAAGAGCCTACCACAGCGTCAGGCACACATGCATGACAGTTAGAAATATGCCAAAGCACCACAGGCTCTGAACTATCTCAGCACCCTGCAGGTCTCAGAAAATGTAAAAAAAAGTTTTAAAAAATCCCTATGAAATCCAGGGAGAGACCACTCCAGTTTCTGATAATAGCATTAGTTGATAAAAGTTCCCCATTGGAAACACCTTATTTGGCATGAATGTAAGTCTCCATCTTGCCCACATATAAATAGTGCACATTTTACAAGAGTATCCCTGTGCAACACCTCCATCGCATCATAAGTGCTTTCTGTCTATTTCTATTGGGCTAAAACAATTTGTCAGAGCCTGACACAACTCTCCAAAATAGCTTCAGAAAATCTGAGGAAGTCTCTGGAATTTGGGGGAAACAGAATGCCTGAGGATTCATCTAACTACCTGCTTCCTATCCAGAGTGATCTTTAAAAAAAAGCAAACAAGAACCCTTGAAACGATCATATGCACAGTATAAGGAAAAGGCTTATAAATGAATATGGTTCTTCTATCATTAATAATTAAGATCTTTAGAATGACCCTTCTAGACCAGCCCTGCCCCAGGAAACTTCCTCCTGTGATGTAAATGCTCTTTAAGTGTGCTGCTCATGAGCCAATGGCCATGTGGCTCCAGAGCACCAGAAATGCGGCCAATGTGACAGAGAAATGGACTTCTACTTTAATTCACTTACATTTAGAAGGCTACGTGAGGCTGATGGCTACCACAATGAAGAGTCCAGCTATGGACAATACTGATGTTTTATAAATCAGGTAGCATCATGGTATTACGTTAGAGCTTACAACCTAAACAAACAACAAGCTGTTTCTGTGAGTTTGCTTGTTTCGTTTTTTTGTTTTGTTTTGTTTTGATGTTAGTGTCTCATGCTGTGGCCCAGGCTGGAGTCAGTGGTTCAACGACTCACTGTCTCCAAATCCTGGACTCAAGCAATCCTCCAGCCTCAACCTCCTACGTAGCAGGGTGCACCGCCACAACCAGCTCATGTTATGAATTTTTGTAGAGGCGAGGTCTCACTATATTGCCCAGGTTGGTCTCCAACTTGTAGGTTGAAGCAATCCTCCTGCCTCAGCCTCCCAGAGTGTTCATGTTTTTATGAGTGTTGTTCTTCTTTTTTTTTTTTCTTTGAGTTGGAGTCTCACTCTGTCGCCCACACTGGAGTGCAGTGGCTGCTCTCGGCTACCGCAGTCTCGACCTGCTAGGCTCCGGCGACCGAGTGTTCTTCTTTAATAAACTATCATACACATCAGATAGTGATTTAATTTTAAGAGAATTGTTGTACCATTTAACAACAGATTTATTTTCAGTATAAGAAAAATTAATGTTTAATACATACAATGTTATATCCATTTTCGTGTAATTTCTTTTTTTGAGTTGCAGTCTCACTCTGTCGCCCAGACTGGAGTGCAGTGGCCGCTCCCGGCCAACGCAGTCTTGACCTACTGGGCTCCAGCGATCCTTCCACCTCAGCCTTCCAAGTAGCCGGAATTACAGGCACGCGCTACCATGCCCGGCTGATTTTCTGATTTATTGTAGAGATGAGGTCTCGCTGCCCAGGCGGGTCTCGAACCCACGGGCTCAGGCAATCCACTCACCTCAGCCTCCCAAAGGCGTGGGATTACAGGCTGAGCCACCGAGCCCAGCTATTTTCGTGTAATTTCATCTGCAGCCAGCCACTTTGCCCTGACCACATCCCTACCAAGGTGGTATGTGAAAACTATGTTCAGCGTTTTCCTTGCATATATCTAGGTGAGTTGAGCTAAACAGCTTAAAAGTTCCTCGCAGAAAAGAACATTTGCTTACAGAGCTACTGCCAGAAAAAGAGCTCATTCCAAAGGTTCTATTGTGTGATACTTTGATATTTTCCTGGCCAATGTTCAATATCAAGTAGATTAAAAAAACAAAACATCTATGTCAGGAATCTGGTAATAACAACACAAAATATAAGCCTTGCAAAGAAATCCTATTATTTGCACATAAACATCAACCTCAAGGTTTTAGTGAGAAAATTTTTTCATATATACAAAAGACTGCAGATATTTTGGCACTTACACCCTACATCCTAATTCTCCATGATATATCTCCAAGTTTTATACAGTTGCACAAGTTGTATAATTGCATATTTTTATAATTTTGTAAAGAATATAGAGACAAGTCACTGGAAAGTAACTACCTTGGAAATTATGGGCATAAAACGTAAAAAAAAGAGTTGCATACTGTAATAATTTTTTATAAATATAACTGTTTTAGCTGTTCAACTGTTAGATATAATTAGACTTTATAGTGCTTATAATAGCCCCCCATCAATCTAATCGTTTACAGATTAACTGTACTAAGAGTTGCAAATGTGTTTACAGGATAAGAGTTCTATGTGATTTAAAGCTTACTTTAAATTTCTTAATAAATTATGATAAAACAGGCAAAGCATTATATAGTAAGTGCAGATAATTCAATATAAACATGACAATGGAAACGATGTTTAAATAAATGTGCTAAATAATCCTGCCATCAACAGAAGATCACTTTATTAAAAAATATAATTAATATGTAGCAATTTACCACAAAAAGTCAGTTACATGATTACACAGTGCTTGCTACAAATAGGAAAAATATGTAAATGTTTACCATTCCAAAATAATGCCATTTATAATGTACTCTGAACTTTCTCCTCCTGTGTGGCTACAGCTCTCATACTAAATGTTTTTAACTTTTCTAAGTCTTTAAGAGGCTTATTTTTAACTCAACTTACAAGTTAACTGATGATGGTTGTTGCAAGCAAGAAAATCCCACCACTGATGTGCCCCTACTCAAGAAGCATCTCAAATACACTGACTTATACAAACATATTTCAACATTAAGTCATCTCCTTATCCATTTAATATAATAAAGTACAAAGTTTCAATGCATTTTTAGAAACACAGGCTCCAGATATCCTATTATTTTGCTTAGAAGTACTGAAGAAGTTAATCAGGAAAAAGTTTTTAGAAGTCTTTTTAGTTAATAAAAAATCAGTTAACAGCACACAAAAGAGAGTCCAGCACTTTGCAGGATATTAGAGGAACATAAGAGTATAAGACTGTTACCAAAGCATAACTATTCTGGATAAAAATGATATCACCTGCTTAATATGGATAATCGATTTCAAAATAACTCTTAACATTATTATCTCTGCACTGAATACAAATGTATTAATTTTTGATGACACAAACATTCCCATGAAAGGTCTTTAGTATAAGCAAATGATGGCGCTCCATTCTGTGAGATGGTGGCAGCTGACACTGACAAGCGACAGCAGTGTGCGAGTGACAACGCTGTACTCACTGCTTTTGTGTGATGTCCCCAGTCCCCCACAGAGCTAAGGTTACCTTCACCTAGGAAGCTAACGAAGAAAAGGCCTTATGCTGCACTATTTGACATATGATATATTTGAGATATGGTATTTTACATATACTTATTCTTTCCGCAGTGGCAGGACAGAAATCCAAATTCACAGGATAAGAGAGAAGTAGGTGTGTCTGCCACACAGGTAGAGACAACTCTTCCAAAAACCTTGGGACAGTCTAAGCAGGAGTTTCTGAATGGGGCAAGAGAGGACAGGGAAGAGCCTAGACGTGGAGGGAGCACTAAGGCGAGACACCAAGTTCTATCAAATGACAGGTCCTTCTTCAGTGACAGGAACTGAGAACACGTGAGGCTCAAAAGACGAAAGCTAATGCCTTCATGTCAGCCTCAACTGTTTTCCCTATCAAGTAGCAGAAAGGAGAGTAGCTGAGCAGGGGGAGAGGGGGAGCACGTGGGGAAGGGCAGAGTGAGCAGGGTTGATTCACCACTGGAGGAAAACAGCCAACCACATTCAAGGCCTAGGACTATCGTGGACCTCAAACCAAGGGCCTGGAGTATATTCTACCCATTGACACTTGCAACGTCAAGGGAGTAAGAGACTTTTCTGGTAGAAGCAGGAACCCTGTTATAAACAGTCCACCTCGGGGTTTAAGGTGGAGAAAGACAAAACGTGGAACTGGAAGACAAGGAAGTACATGGGCAGGATGTGTCTATGGGAGTCAGGAGGTAAAAGACCAGAGACAGTGGAAAGGCGAGTTTCAGAACATGAAAGAGCAGACTTCTGTGTTTGGCAAACTTCCCGCAAACACCTGTCAGGGTGCCTTAAGCTTTGAAGATACTCTACAAGTACCACAGGTATTCAAAAGGTAAAGTCAGCTCAACAGTACCCTCTGCAGACTCCTGGCCATGGGCAGACTGCTTTTAAAAGTTTTGTTTAGATGTCAAGCCAAGGCCGGGCTCCGTGGCTCAGCCTGAGCCAGTGGGTTCGAGACCAGCCCGGGCAACTTGGCAAGTCCTTGTATCTACAATAAACCAAAAAAATTAGCTGGGCGTGGTAGGGTGCGCCTGTAGTTCTGGTTACTCGGAAGGCTGAGGCAGAAGGATCACCGGGGCCCAGCATGTCGATGCTGGGGTGGCCATGAGCATGCCACTCTACTTCAGCCTGGGCAATGGAACGAGACTCCAATTAAAAAAAAAAAGAGAGATGTTAGACCAAGTCACAAAGAACAAGGGAAAAAAGTTTTCTGAAACATGTAAAGAAAAGCATCTCAATGAACTTCCTCAATTATCCTCACAAGTAGGAACAAAGTACCTGTTTCGCTTTTTCACTTTTCTTCGTTACAGAAACGAATGGTTAGAGGTTGAAGATTTGGAAAGACAGGAGAGAGGGGAGGCGAAAGATGAGAAATCACCTAATGGGTACAAAGACACCATTGGGTGGTGGTTACACTGAAAGTCTAGACTTCGCCACTCTACAATACATCCGCTTAACACAACTGCACCTACACCTCCCAAAATCGACAACGGCCTTCCAGTATTCGACTGCTGGCACAAGTGCAAGGACACGCATGTACTCCTGTGCCATTCGGCAAACATACAGCTCAGCTCATGAGAGGAGCAACGAGAGGCCTTCCATCCTGTCTCCAACCCTTCAACACAAAAGTCCCCTAACTACTCCAAGCAGTGCTTCTCTAAAGGGCCTGAGTCCACAGTGGGGAGTAAAAGTAGAAGGCTCACGTCAGCAGCAAGATGCTTACCCCATAATGCAGCACACAGAATCTCAGAGTTAAACCTCTTCTTGTATTTCCGAATCTCTGGGGTGTCACTCTGTGGCCTAGTGTTGGTAGGGTTCACATTGACCACTGAGCCTTTCCGGGTAGGATCTTGCCTTATGGCTTCTGGTCTCATTCCATCACAGGAAAATCCCACTGAAACACAATACATTTGAAATTATTTTCTGTGTGCGCGTGCACACACACACACACACACACACCCCATGCCTGTCTCCCTCCCCCAATATACTTCAAGTAAATATCCAGATGCCATTATCTGACACTTTATCAAGGAGAAGGAATATTTAAGAAATGTGTATGGAAAAAAGAAATTGACTATGCAGCGCATTGCAAACAAGACAATGCAAGTGGGATGGGAGGTTCCTGTTCCTGAGGACGGTGCTGGTGAACAACCACATGCCATGCCTAAGCCACTGGAAAGAGCAACTCCGAGTGACGAGTCCTATTTCTCAGCTGCTTTCTTGTTGCCACTGTACTTACCCACAGAAGTTACTGTTGTCCCACTAGATGGAGAAATCTGTAGTAATCTGGGGTCTATAAAAGGTGTAAAGGAGGAGGAAGATTTGTGTTTCTGGAGTGTGCTACTAGCGGACTGAGTCTGCAATGTAAATTTCAATTTTATTAATACAAATGACACTTTCAAAATGAACATTTAAAAAAACATTTCCATTCCCGTCCACACCGTGCTAGTTCCCGATGCGTGGCCCTCTGTCTCCCGCATCCTTCCCCAAAAACTCTCTGCAGGGAGTTTCCACATGGTACGGCATCCCCCAGAGCAGGTCGCTTCACCTAGGACCGCTGCAGGAGCCACGTCTCTTCCGGAGACATTGCTCATCTACTACAGTGATGCAGCAAGCTGCCAATAACCTCTACACTTCATGCACCTAGCTTTTTAAAAGGTTAAATAATTATGATGAAAACTCCTAAAGGAGGTTTGAAATGTCTTGATCTCAATTCACCAATTTCTGAATTAACTCTCCTACCCAGAAAAGCCCAATTAATCTGTGTTGAAATATTGGCAAATTTTAATTTAATTTATTTAAATTAAGCCTCTTGCCACAAAGCCACAGAAGCTTTGGCTACCATGGTTTCAGGCATATCACCATTAAACCCATACCAAACAGGGGCTCACTGTGAAAGGTGCAAATGACAAAATAAAGCATATACTTTGGATCTTTTAGGAGCACTAGTGTTTTGGTTGATAATATAACTTAAGACAAAAAAACACAAAGAAAGTGAAACAAATTGTTAAGTGGAAATGTAAAATGACGATTAAAAACAAAACAAACAGAAAAATAAATAAAGTTGCCAGTTTAGTGCATTAAGTGTTATAGTAAAATACGGAACATCAGAGCAAAATGGAGCAAGGTTTAAAACATAAATACAAGGAGGAATGTGAGTGCAGGTGGGATATATACCTCAGGAGAAAAAAAGAACCTGTCCTGTCAAGTGCGTCTGCCTGGTACCATTTCACTCCCTCCATGGGTACCTGAAAGCCACCGTGTCCTGGGGTCTATTCCCACCTGAACTTCTGCTACCTGGCAGGCTTCCCTCCCTGTCCCATGAGTCAGTGGTCAATCTAGCCAATGATCAGTCCGAGGCCGAGCCTGTCTAGGAAGCAGCCGACTCGCCCCTGCTCTTCAGGAAAAAAATTGTTCTGACTCTTTCTCATGAGGGCAAGTAGGAGTGGGCAGTCAGGTAGGTGTTTACATTAACAAGACAGGCTGATGCCACATGTCAGTTCCAATCTTCCTCAACCTGTAAGACGTTTAAACCTAAACCTCTGGTGGAATCAAATCACTTGCTTAATTAAATACAGGATGTTCGAGGTGGGCTCTGTTCTGCACTTGGGGCATAACCCTGTTCAAAGAGCAAAGAATCACCCAGATAGCACCCAGACCGAGTACCACAGCCAAACCTTCAAAGGCGCGCACAGGATTTAATTTTAAATTAAAAACATGCTCAGACTTTGTCCTTCTTGCATAATATCCTAGTTTTTTCTAGGTTTCCCGAAAATAATTTTGCTTCTTAAACTCTGAGTGATTGTAAATTTCAAGGAACGAAATCCTTTAGACAGAGTTGGTGAAAACAAATATGAGCAATCAACTAACAGCCACCCCCAAAAAAGGAAAAGGAAAAAAAAAAATCCAGTTCTGTTTGAAATAAATTCCTGTACAAGATAAAGAAGTTTGTCCAGATAAGGCCAAATCTGCTTAACCAAATTTTCCTATAATTTATTGGATAAAAAAATGAAAAAGTCAGATTCCATAAATGACTACAAGAATTTCATGCCAAATACACAATGGGTCTGGGAACACAGCAATCATTTTATTTTGATTTAAAAAAAATAAACTAGATAAAGAAAGCCATGCAACTACACTTATCCAGAGGACAGTATAAACAGTGAACTGGCAAGTTTGGGGGGAAGCTGATCGAGGGTTAAGGGATTTGTATGCAAATCTGAAACATGTTACTTGGGGTTGGGGAGAAGGGTAGGTGACAGAGAAAGCAGGGTGGGAAGGGAAGGGGTGAGGGTGTTGGAAAGTTCTCCTTTGCAAACTAGCTCCTAAGCAGTGCTGGTCTAACCCCAGGAAAGCAGCCAGCTGTGGTGCGAGACATACCTCATTAGCAGTGAGCTTGTCCTGGGGTGTCTGTGGGGACATGGTGGGTGTCGGCTGGCTGGAGGATGGGGAGGAGGAGGTGGAGGAAGTGGAGGAGGAATGGCTTTGCTGTAAGAGATCTGGCAAGAGGTGAATGCGACCGGCAAAGCCATTGCTCTCATGATGGCTGGCACGCTTTTGGTCAACTGTACTCTGCAGAAAAAACAGGCACACTTGTCTCGCTCAAGCGCTGCTGAAATTGCTTATGACCCTACTGACAACTGCTTTGTTTAAGGTGCTGTGTGACTTTCCAAACTTTAAATTATCAAGGAAAAACCAAAGAAATTAGCCTAAATTGCTCACACTTCCTCGCCAAATGCCCAACTCAAGCCAACAGAATTCAAAGTACCTCATCTGATGGCCGTGAGCAACGTGTGTTCAATCTGGTTTGTCTGTTGCACTAGCTTCTGTGACCAGAAGCACTAACTTTTTCTCATTTGTTTGTTAAAAAACCTTTCTGTCTAAAGCTCTGGAAACGACCCTGAGGCTTCTCTGAATCCTGGTCTTTTCCATGTTCTTCCTATTTTCCATCCAAATGCACTGCCATAGCATGAGATACACTCAGGGCAAAGTCCAAAATACTAGATAGGTGCCCTATTCTATCTAAATGAGAAGCGTGTCACTTTAATTAAGCCTAAGCTAAGAAATGAACAGACAGTTGTAAAACTTAGTGACCCAAAGAGCACATCTGGGTGGCACACATTTAATTCTTCAACAAGTGCGAAAACTAACATTCTAGAACACAGAAGAGAGACCTCCCGACCCTCTGCTCTCCGAGGTTCGTCTAGCCCAACTCGCCAGCTCCTGCCATGGCACCGCAGACACGCAGGGCCGAGTGTGCTCTGCAGAACCCCGTGGCTGGCTGCCCCAGACTCGCGACCTGTTTCCTCACTCTGCGAGCCTGTCTCAGACTCCCTGTGGCTTCTCTCCCGCTCAGACACAGACTGTGAGACTCAGCGCGGTGCTGGAATGAGGGCTGCCACAGACATGCAGAGTAGCAGCAATGTGGGGTGGAGACTACCCACTACCTCTGGGCATGCAGCACAACCTGCTCCTTAGCCCCGACACTCGACCCTCGACCCTCTACCCTCTGCAACTTGTTAACATGAAACAGATGGTGATGTAGAAACAGCATGAGTGAGTGAATGAGCAAGTGGGTTAATGACTACAGGAGAAGCTCAGCCTCTGACAACAGAGAAGACACAGGTACCTGGCGGACAATTAGCGTGCCCTCCTTGGATGGGGTCATGGCCGGTTCACTTTCCACTTCGTCATGGACAATCATGGTTTTCACGGATTCCGTTTCACCATTGCTCAAATTCAGAGATGACCTACAGAAACAAAATCCAGAAGTAAAGAGCCTTAACCTTACAGGTTGAAGAGATCCTATTTAGACTTTTCACGTCTCTCAAGTCCGAAGACGAGATGAGGCTACTTCTATCAAGTTTCCTCAAGGAGACAAAGTGCTTGACCTTTTCCCTTTAGCAGAGAATTTCCTTCTGGAGCACTTTGTTTCTGAGCAACAAGTGAGAATATTTATGGCTGTTAAAGGAGAACTGCAATTTCCTCTTTACCACAGTCTCAAATTATACAGAAAAAATAAAGCACACGCTAGGGTGTTGGGGAGGGCACTGACAAATGCACAAACAGCCGAGAGAAGAAGAAACAAAGGCTGCCTGCTGCTGAATCCAGGGTAACAACATGCTACACGCTCATGGGACCACGCGGAAGGCTTAGGAAACATTGGTTCCCAGTGGAAGAAGACTGTAGGAACACTCTCATCCTCTCTAAAATAGACCAAGGACTGACGCTGCTCTGGTGTCCTCTGGTCCTGAGGTGGACTCGTCGGCCCCTTCTTGCTCTACGTCATCCTCCTCCTCATCGGTTGTCCCCGACTCCTCACTCGACGAGGAGTAGTCCGTCACTTTGTGAGGTGGCCGCACATCTTCTACCGCCCGAAGTTCTTTAGCCAGTGCAGTCAGATCCTGATGCACAGGACAGAAAATCAAGAGTAAGGTGATGGGAGGCGGGGAGAAGAAAACAGGAGAGAATGAGAAGCTCTTTATTACAACTATCAATAAATAGCTACAGTGTTAATTTTGTAAAATCATTTTGTATTTCCCAGTATCACATGAAGGTGTGCTCTTATAACTTTTGTTAAAAAAGGTCAAAAAATTATTTTAAAAAATAGATAAAAACAGAAAAGACCAAAAAAAGTCTAAGAAGTTGTATGCAGTAAACAATAAAAAAGGTAACAATCTCCGTGTAAGCTGGAAGTGTTAAAAAAATATATACGGTAAGCTTCTAAATCAAAAAGCAAATATATACAGATCCTTGGGCTCTGATGTAAAGATACCTGTTTATACGACAAACTCTTCTTTTAAAGGGACTATCCAGAAAGCAAGCTTCTAGATAAATAGGCCTAATTTAAAGGTGTTTTTTCGGGGGGGTGTATTTCTCTCCAACTTTTATAATTCAAGCCTACAAAGTGGAAGTGGCCATCAGTATACTACTCCCATATCACTCCAACTGTTCACTTGCCACATTCATAAAGAAAGCTCATGTCATATGAAGAGAAAGAAGCGCCCTGTGTGTGCTGTGGGCAGGAGGCTGTGTGCATTCCCAAAGCCCCTTCTCCTTCAAGCCTTATCCTTATTTCCCCGTGACACCCCAGATGAATGTGAAAATCAGAAAAAAAAGAAAATGCAAAGTGAAAGTTTTCCAAAAAGCTTCATTTCCTTTTTTCTCTTCTACACTGAGATAGTTTAAGACTCAATAAGTCAACTAAATACAAATTTTAGGCGTGGTTATTTATACTCCACATTTTCATAAAAAACTCCAAATTCATCTTTCTATTTAGGAATCTAATTTATAAGTAATGATTTTTTAAAAGCAGACTATGTAGGTACTTTTTTGGTTTTAGTAGTTCTAACTTCTTCTTCTTTTTCACAATTGAGAATGTTTCTTTTCTTTGACCTTAAGTTTCTGAAATAACAGGGACCAAGTGTTGGGCTTTGAGTCTCGCTATTTCGTGGCTACAGCTGTAGCTTCTAAAATAGTTTTTCAAAAAAGCTACACTTAGTAATAATGTGCATGCCGCAAATCTTGTATTAAGAAAACTGAAGCGACAGTTTAAGGTTTTTAAATTCTGGAAACGAGTAAGAAGGCAAGAGGAGGGGGGCAGGCAGCTGGAGCACTGCTCTGAGGCTGAGCTTTCCAGAGACAGGCTTACCACTTCGCCCTTCAGCACAGCGGTAGTGTCATGGGTCCGAGAGGTCATCGGTGAGGAGGAATGCACAGCACGAGGGAGCGCAGAAGGAGGGAGGGAGGGGAGGGGGAGAAGCACAGAGATCAGTTCAAGCAGGAAACCAAAACCCTGACAGGCTTCAAATGCTATGATGTGTGCAGAGTTACGTGGCCACTTGACACATGAGGGACTGAAGGAGCAGCAGGCACAACTATCACCCCGGGTGCCAAAAGGCAGAATGTAAGCAAGAGGTGAAGAAGGTACTTAAAACTGCTTATTCTAAAAGTCAGGCTTATAAATGCCCAATACATCAAGAATATGTAAAGGTTAATGCCAAGCAAAGAGATAAAATTTCACATATGCACAACTATATTTTAAGTCTTGTTTCCTTAAAAGGAAATTTCATTAAATAAAAACCACACTTTGCTCTGAGTTCCACTGTAAGGCTGACTGAACACAGAGTGTATGGCTGAAACACTAGAACAAAGGTTTCACTCTACTGAGTCTTTATGTAGGAAATGGGACGCCTGAGTGAGGGGCACAAACGTGCCTGGGGTTGGGTCATTCATGAAATCTGTGAGGGACACAACAGGAAGGACTGCAGGCCTCTCAATCACATATTTTTAACAGAAAGATTCCATGCCTGCCAGAAATGAGTAAAACTGATTCTGAACACTCCTTACAGCAGGTTTGAGAGGTCTGAACACTTCTTTTTTATCTTCAGGCTTTTTCACGGCATTTTCAAGGCGCTGAGATGGAGACCCTTCAGACTTAGATGATGCTGTTAGGATCAAGAAAGGCAAGAAAGGCAGACACCCATAAACACACAGGTGCATGTCCTAGCCCCCACCCATGCCCACTTCTGTCAGCCCACTCATGGCAAGGTCTCTTCAGGCAGGTCTGAACTCCAGGGCAAAGGGGGAACCGGTAAAGTTCTTACAGTGTTTCTGATTCCTTACTTGCCATCCTCTATCATCACACTCTGTTTAGCATGTGCTCACAATTTATGCCTTGTATGTCACTAATACAGGAAAGGGAATATTCACTAATCTATTAGTATGAGTGAGTTAAAATAACTGTTACTGATAATGTTATAGGCCCTGGAGTCCACACTACAAGAAATGGGTTCAGATCCCAGATCAGATATTTAGCTAATTGCCTTGGACAAATTAGTCAATTGCACCAAACTAAAAAGTGCTTGTAGTGCTAGGCACATGTAAAATTCTTGAAATTTAGTTTCTTTATGATTAAAATCATGATGACAATTAGTATCATCAGCAACCTCTACTAAAACACCACTTTCATAATATGTAGCTATATGCAGACAACAGGTTTTTTTTTTTTTTTACAGATAAGAAGGACTTACAATAGACTCCATAGCCAATGTCATTAACAAGAAAAGGGTAAAGGAAAGGCAGCCTACATCTCACTCTGAAGCGTTCCCCGGATCCACTCTGCGACCCAGGGTGAGACCCAGGTTGGGATCCTGAGTTGCTGGACCCTGAGGAGCTGCCACTGCCAGGTCTGGGGACCAGCTTCTCCACTCTCTCCCACAGGAGCCTGGGCTCAATACTGCTGTTAGAAAAACAGAGAAAACAGCTAACGTACCATCCCAAGATGTAGTACTATAAACATGTACATAATGTGTGCATCCAATGTCTTCAAAATGTAGGGAGGAGACAGCCTATAAACAGCATTTAACATTCAATTTACTGAAAGTCATATGGCATTATTCACAGATTTATCTCAGCTAGCTTAACAAACCAAAAACACTAAATGATATTCCACCATTAGCAAACCTAAAATCTTTATAAGATGTGAGATGCAATGCTACTGCTCAGTCTGGAAGCATCAGCCATTCCTGTCACAGCTACAACGTCAGTTTTTAATATTATGAAAACAGTCTGTGTATATTATTGCACACCAAGTTATATCCTGCTTTTCGGCTGCTACTCCTTACCCACCACCCGCTGTTGCCGTCAAAAAATGACATGTACAAAAGATGCACCTTTGTATGAGCTGTGTTGGAGAAGGGGTAGAAAGCATGGGCTGGGCTGGATTTCCTGCCACAGACAGACCCACGGCACATGTTTGTAGATAAGAATTAGCAACACGGAAGAATACCACAGTCTGCCCTGGTCAGTAGTAGTACTGAGGGGCTCTCTGTGGTTTCTGGTTATAATCCACCTGACCACTTTTGACCATGTGCAAAAGGCTAACTTTAGAGAGTCAGTGATGATTAAGTAATAAAACAGTCAACGAAATGATCTTTTCTTCCCTATTACGGTGCTGGACAATGGATCTTTCTGTGATGATAAAAATGTTCTATATCTGAGCTTTATAAATATCAGTCACTAGTTAAATGTGTCTATAGGGTACTTGAAATGTGGCTGGTGTAACTAAGAAATGGAGCTTTAATTGCATTTCATTTTAATTAAGTTAAATTTAAATTTAAGAAACCTCATGTGGCTGATACGCTCTAGAACCTAAAAAGGATATTACATTCATGTATTGCAGACTGTCAGTCAACCAGTCACTTTCTTCAGTAAGCTGCCTGTGATTTCTATGATTCAAAAGGCCTTAAGACATCCTTTAGATAAAAAGCTCCCTCAGATTATCATTCTCTTAGAACTTCTCTCCGCTTCCTGCTGCTCCCACTATTTACTCCCACAGATAGATAGTTTTAATTTGGAAGTTACTACAATACACATCTGGATTCAAACTCTCTCTTTTATTACAGATCAATCTGATGCTATTTACATTAATGGCTTTTATGGCAGTTTTTTCTGTTACAAGTGATCATCTCTTTGGCCCAGAACTTCTGTGTTTATGAGCATTTTTATAAAAACTAATTATACAAGACTGTAAGAGATCGCACAGTAAACCTCTTCTTAACTTCTGCTCATCTTTTACCTGGTGGAGTTTCTTTGTCCTGCTTGGCTATTTTGCTGTCCACTGCCCTGCAGTGGGGAATCCCGACGGGACAAAACAGGGGAGCGAGAAGTTGTTCTCACAGGAACCTTTAAGTAGAAAATAGAGCCATTAAATGGTTGAAAACATGAAAAGGAGAAAAAAGATTTCTCTACCAAAACACATTTTTAAAGTAGTCCTATCACACTGGCCTTCCTGCCACTGATCCACCCCCCACCACCCTTGACCCTTCCCTAGTCCTCCACTGACACAATGGGGAGAGAAAATTTAGTTGCAGGCATCTAAGAAGCCAGTACAGGTTGTCTTTCTGCGCTCCTGTAACATTTAAATGATGTTTGGACTGAAGCTTGGTAGCAGGGGACGTACAAAGCATTCTGCTGAGATAATGTGAGAATCAGGAAAATAAGCTCAAAGAAACCAAACAATGGTCTACAAATGATCGCAGGAAGCAAAGACTGGCAGGAAGCAAGAAAATATTCAGAGGAAGCCAATTCCAAATGAAGGAAAAATAAAACGTGCCCTTTTGTGTAATTTCACCATTAAGTGATTATAAAAACAAAAACCCCTCAAGTGATATTTTTATGTTATTTTTTCTTTTTAAAATTTTTTCTGAGAATTTTGATATTGGTTAAAATTTCAAAATAATGTATAGCTTCTGTTTAAACTTACAAGAAAACTGCTACAATAAATCATGCACTTGTTCAAGAAGCATATTCTGCGTAGACTAGCTCTTATAATAAGTTTACTACCTTATGTTTAAGTACGTAGTTAACAACAATAAAGAGCTAACTGGCCACTGGCTAAATATAACTACCTAACTATGGAACTTCCTTTTCACCATAAAAAATTCCTTTGAAATTTCATTGCCCCTTTAATTCTGGTGAAGTCACCATACCCATAATTAAAATAAATAATCTTTAAAAAAAAACAATAAAATGGAAAAAAGAAGCACACATCTGTCTTTCTGCTCCTTACCCTTGGAGGCACCTCGTCACTGTCTGATCTAGACCAAGCCTTTTGGGTGGGGTCAGGCGCCTCTGACTTAGACTCAGAGCTCTGACTGAGCACCTCACTGCGGGAAGGTGGACATGGGTCCTGAGAACGAAGATGGTGGTGTGCAAATTTGGGAGGAGAAGGGTCACTGAAGGAATGGGATCGCGAGACAGGGGAAACATTGTTCTTGAGAGATGCCAGGTGGGACCACTGTACCTTACAAGAAAACAAAACACAAAACATTCAATGCGTTCTGCATAAAACTGGCTTTTCTGGTCAATACCAAATCCAAAGCAGGAACTGGCAAAGGTGGGATGCACACTGGGGGCAGCACAGTACTGGGTCAGCCAAGCAGTGCGACAGCACACTTCTAAGTGAAGAGGTGGTCTGGGGAACACAGTATGTAGAGAAGAACAACTGTACATTTACAAGGAAAACTCTTAATTTCCAGACAAACATTACAGACAGCAGTAAAATAAGTGCGGTTTTGTTGTTGATTTTTTTTTTATAAAGAGCCTTACAGACTCATTGAAAAGGGGGGACAGTGTGCTACATGCACATTCATGTCAAAGCAGAGCCTGGAGAGGCAGAGAAAGGTAGAAAAACCACCAGATAGAGGGCACTGCCAAACGTGCAGACCTACCTAGCCATCCCCACATTGCAGTGTGAGACTTCAGACCAGACCAAGTAAAACATCACATTGAACACGAGTAAAGACAAGCCCCTCGTGTTTTGACAGACTGTAATAGTATAGCTTAAAAACAGTCAACTTTTCAAATACACCAACAGTTTTTCTTATTTCTCCCAAATCTGAAAACACTCATAACCTAGCTATCTCCATACACTTTCATACTAGTTATAGAAAAAAAAGAACTGTGGTTTATTTAAAAATACTTAGTACCATGGATTCCCTAAACTGACTACTGTTGGAGTATTCCTTCTACTTGACAATTCAAGAAATATGACAATTATTTGTCAACTGAGTTTATCTAGTTGCTTTAAAATTAGTAAAGCAATCTCTGAAATAATGTATAACATATTTTTACTATATTATATTTTATTGTGTTAAACCAATTGTTCAATACTATTAATTTACAAAATTCTGGGTATGTGTCTAGTACATTAGCATATTTAATGAAAACTGAAAATACCAAATCACAAATTGTTTACCCTTCCAAATACAAGATGCAAAGCTAGTTCCAAGTGAATGGTTCCTAAATCTATGGGTGGGATTCACACAATCCCAGTTACTGAGATCCTGATGTGACTTCTAAATGTTGAAGACTTTCAGAAGGAAAACATGCAACTGAAAGTATTACCTGAAATTATAATTTAAAAAATGAGCTTTAGAATAGAGTCCTACATGAGAAAAGGAGGAAAAGGGAGAATACCTCTAGGCACCATGTGAATTAATCCTGAACATAAAAATCAGTCTACAGAGTCCAGCAGCTCCTCTTTTCTAAACTGTTAGTGGCCAAACAGGTTAAGAGTCTTCGTTCAGAACAGAAGCTCTTCTCCTGCATTCTTCAAATGGGCCCAAGTGATTGAGCAACAAGCATCATCAGATGGGTTTTAACCGCACCTCCTCTCTTGCCTTGGTCTGCATTCACCTCCTCCTGCTCTCCTCCTTCCTTCCTGCTTCCTTCCACTCCTTCCTCTCTGGAGTTGCCTACCTGCTCACAGGTCAGCTCCGCTGGGCCTCAAGAACCTGGAGCCGCACACGAACACCCCTGTACCCCTCAGAACCCTTGGCTTCAGTCCTGGTTCTTCTTTGACTTCACTAAAGCAATCCATGCTGCAGATCCCCATCATCCAAGGGGATGACTTGTTGTTAAGCATGTTCAAATTCTAACTTGAATATGTTTTACAAACATGACAGCTTACTGTCACATGAACATAAGCTTTTGTCCCCATACACATGCAAACACCAACGACAAAAATTCACGTTTAAGAACTTGTTCCCTGTTCTGGATTACACAGTGGCAAGAAGGAAAATGTCTCAAAGTCAGTAATTTTCAGCAAGAGCAGGAATCAGTGTTTTAAGGATTTATAAGACTCTGACCTGGGCAGTCTTTGCTGTCTACTCTCTTCCGACAGATGGCAATAGTTTCTCTCCTAGGCAAAAAGCACTTGGCCCAACACTTTCCTGCCCTTAGAATGCTAAGAATATTGTGGCAGCCCCAAGAAGAGGTCATGACCTATGCCCTGACATACTGCAGGGAAATCCCCACCTAATTCATTGGATCTAACCTTTTTTATGGATCTTAAACTGTTTGGGAATTTGATAAAGGGTTCTTCTCTTCCCCACCCTCAAAATGCAATTATGGAGCCGGGCTGGGTGGCTCAGCCTGTAATCCCGCACCTTTGGGAGGCTGAGGTGAGTGGATTGCCTGAGCCCGCGGGTTCGAGACCCGCCTGGGCAGCGAGACCTCATCTCTACAATAAATCAAAAAATCAGCTGGGCGTGGTAGCGTGCGCCTGTAATTCCAGCTACTTGGAAGGCTGAGGCGGAAGGATCGCCAGAGCCCAGCAGGTCGAGGCTGCGGTGGCCGGGAGCGGCCACTGCATTCCAGTCTGGGCGACAGAGTGAGACTCCAACTCAAAAAAAAAAAAAAATGCACATTTGGGCAAATGAAAAAATTCTGCATGAAGCTTCAGGGGCATCAGCTGCTTGCTACGGCCCACTCATGGGACTGGCCAGGAGCCAGGGATCACAGGGTAAAGCACCTAAAAGGTTCTGGTTCTTCCTTTACATGTTTATAACACAAATTCTCTAAAAACTATATTTAAAAATCTTTTATCAGAAGATAGAGGCATTTCACATCTGAGCTAGAAAAGGAAAAAAGAGAAAAATCACTAACCCTAGATATTCTTCATGAGCACATCAAAAATCTTAAGCAAACAAAAAACCAAAAGGTCTTCTTTCACTATCAACTGAGTGTATGTTCTCTTTTAGTCTAAAGTCACTTCTGCAATCTCTTCTCTTTTTAAATGTGGCGATGAACTATGCTGTGAATGTCACAGCAGGCCTGTGACTTGGCAAACCACCTCATGAGTCTCCTCAACCACAGCAGGGCTGGCTGTTGCTACCTGTGGCTCCGCTGATCTCTGCAGGGCAGGATGCACAGACTCGGAGTTGCCATTGGAAAAAGACTCTGATCGGGAAGGCACTGGTGGCTCCAATACTCTGCCTGTTTGCTTAGACTGGGCTTCAGGGGAGCTGTGGTTAGTTTTCCTAAATCTATCTTCCACCTGCATCAGAGAATTAGAAGACATAACTCAGTGTTAGTAGGGAAAAAGTAGATATATTGAAAGTCTGAAAGTGGAAGAAATCTAATGAGAAGTTTTCTGTTTTCTTCAGCTACAAGGAAAGAGAGGGCAGCTGGGAAAAAAAAAGAAGTAGATAAAGCAGTGCAAGGATTTGATTCTGGAAAAAGAAAAGACTTATGAAGACAAAAACTAAGCGAGGCAGCCTCTAAGATCTCTTTGCTCAGAATTCTAGAATTGTATATGACGATAAATTAGAAAAAAAATTAATCTGGCACCATCAACAAAACCAACAGGTTGGAAGACTATCATCAGGAATCCAGACCACATTCATTCCACCAAAAATAAAAGCACCAGAACAGGCAGAATACATGTTCCCAGAATCTGCTCTTGCAAGGGCAGACACAGTGGAAGGAAGGTTACCCCTGTAGGCCAGGATTCAATGCCAACCTCCACCTGTCCAGCATCCTGAGCAGGTGCTACTCCGTCACATCCTGTTCTTGAGCTCTGGCTGGGCCAAACGAACCAGTAACAATTTAAGGGCAGTTGGAAAGTCAGTAAATTGAACCACAGGCACACTTCGGCCTCATTCTAGTTTGGGAGAAACGTTAACCGGGCCACTATTCCGCTTGTTCACATTTTTAAGAACAAACGTGCCATATGCAATCTTCTTTGTGTTTAGTTTCCAATTATTCTGAGATTCAGTAACTGAGAACTCTGGTCCTTTATGAAAAAAGCACTAACTGGACATGAAACCCTGGACAAGCCAAGCCCCTCTGCTCCCTTGAACCTCAATTTCTTAGCTAGAAGACAAGAAGGTGAATCGTTAGCTGACTTCTGCGACCCATTCTAGCATTAACAGGACACATTCTGAAGAGACATCGCATTCCTTTCCACAGAAGAACCAACATAGGACCCAGCACCCAAGCAACGAAGGAGAGACGCTACCTCACGAGCTCTGTCAGCAGGTTCATAGTGGGGTTTGGGCTCGGGAGCGTGATAGCTTGGCTTGCTCCTTTCCTGCTGCGGCGGTGGCTGCTGCTGCTGTGGGTGCTGCGGGTGCGGCCTCCTGTGGTCATGCTGTAGAGACAGGAGATATGCTTGTTCTTGTTGCAACTGCCTCTGGAGCCTCTCTGCCTGCCGGTGCTCCTCCATCTCCCGCCATCGGCACTCCTTGGAGAGGGAGAGGATAACACTAAATCTATGGGACACTGGAGAGCTCACCTCTTCTCTGGATTTCTTCCACTTTTTAAAAAAAGACAAGACATTTTTCCCCCTTGTTTCACAACAAAACAAAATGGCTTGGATTTTAAATAGCACATTACCTGTGGGGAAATCTGACAGCTGTTGCTAACCATAATATCAGTGGACAGAGTAAGAGAGAATTGAATTAAATGTCAGTTTCAGTGGTATATACACTAAGTAAAAATCCTACGGCATGTGCTTGATCCTACAGCCCACAGCATTCTAGTTTGTTCACTGAATGCCAAGTTCTGTTCAACATCTGTCTCTCTACCAAATGAGAACAGTTAGCTGAGACAGAGAGAGAGAGAGAAAGAGAGAAGGAAAGAAAAGTAGGTAGGTTAAAAACCACCTTGCAAAGTTCCCCAAGTAATACAACCATAAAGGACATCTCCATCTGAGCCTGGCTGCCCACAGCAAAACCACAATGCTTGGGTGACCACCAAGCCTGGTTGACTCAGGGGAGGGAATGAACGAGCCCTGACACTACAGAAGGAGACGGAGGCGGGGCGTTACCAGTAACATGGCCTGCTCCTGGAGCAGCTGCTGCTGAAGGACTTCCAAGTGCCGCTGCTCCTCTTCTAGCTGTCGCCTGATATACTCCTGTCACACAGAAATCACCCAGCAATCAATTTATCCAAAAGGAAAACATCAGAACCACCTGCATGGAGCACCAAGAACCATCTGCTCCAATCATCTATAGTAATAATTCACTTAGTGATAAACATTTTAAAAAAATCTATTGCAAAAGATTTTTCCATAAATTTCAAATTGGCCAGTAAGACCTGAAGAGTCTGATATGCACTAAATAGGTGATGACAGGCATTCTCACGATATACATGCAGGTATTTGTTAAAACATAGCTATTTTAAAGGAGGATACCAGTCCTCTTCAGGTTGGTAGACTCCAGGGGTTCATGAGAAAGGATCACAGAGGGTTCTGATGAGTCAATGTTTGTTTACTGGTCATTATTTATAGCAAGCATGGATTCCCCATTTTCAAAACCTAAAACCAAAACCTGCCTAATAGTAAAACACAGTAAACGTAATTTGTGGGTTTGCTGACCATTCCGAGGGTACTTGGAATGACTGCATCCTGAAAGCCATGGTCTGGGCACACCAGGCCCAGACAACCCCCACAAACGAACAGGCCCAGGCTCCTTATGATGAGCTAGCCATGGGGTGGGGGGGGGGGGAGGAGAAGAGAGAGGGAGGAGAAGGAAGGAGAGGGAAAGGTGGGAGGAGGAGGAGGAAGAGGGCAGGAGGAGAGGGAGAGAGGAGGAAGGCGGGGCTGGGTTTTTTTTTTCCTTTTCAATGTGAAGGGAGTGATCTACCTTCACAACAACGAAAACAAGTAAGCACACCCAACACACGATATGTAGAGAGGAAAAAGCCTACCTTGAAGCTGTATGCATGTCATAATGGACACTGATCTCAGGAGGCCTCAATCCCAGCTCCGTCGAGGACTGGCGCTATGACCTCTAAGCAAATGCTAAACCTCCCATTTTCTCAATCTCCTCACTTGAGAAATGAGCATCAAAAATCTCCTTTCCCAACTCTCAAGTTTTTTTGAAGCTCAAACATGCGACAGACAGAAAAAAATTTTGAAAAGCACACGTTTTATAAACAAAAGAGGTTTCCCTCTTTTTTTGACAAGGAAAAAAGTTAACTACCTGCTCTATAAGGGGAGTAGACGAAGGAACAGGAGGAGAAATTTTATCCTGAAATTCAGATTACTTTTTAGAGTGTCTACTGCTGACCATCCCTTGTATCATGGTGCACACCTTAAAATAAAAATAGTCATAGGTGTGGGCTGAACAGAGTTTCAGTTAAGAATAACTCTGGCTAGAAGAATACTGGATAACAAAGAAATCACAGCGTATAAATGTCCTCATAAATTCTTATCTTACAAAGCAAACTGAGCCAAAAAGAAGACAATCTGGGGAGCGTACCCAAAAGGCCACTGATTGGCAAAGATACTAGTTCTGACCTGGGCTCCAAGTCCCTTTCATTTATGCCTAACCCCCCATGATAAATGTTGTGCCAATACCGGCCCTAGAAGGCGGTGTATGGTCTTACCCAATAACAACTAAAAAAGAAACCTGACTCCTAACTCATTTCTTCTTTGAACAAAACAGAATTAAATCATAACTTGAAAGATCAGTTGGCACACTCATTTGTTTCCTGCCTTCAAACCACAAGGACAACCGGAAAAATCACATCCTATCAAAATCACAAAGGTCTCAACACACAGTCAACGAATGTAGAGAATATACTACACATTCACACAAACATACATACTTATGCTGGAATGAAATATGTCCTACAGCACTGTTAGCATAGGGAATTATTAGTTCACAGTAGAACTGAAAAAAAATTTTTTAGAATTCTTTCAAAAACAAGAGGTACCAAATACTTGCTATTCACAAAATTTAATGACTGCCATTAAAGCATTAAAGATTAATTACTACCATCATCCCTCCTCTCACAATCAAATTGTGATAATTACCTCTAAGTGATTTAATTCTTAAAAGCTTGTATTCTCTCCTTTTTGCAGTCCCCAGATATAAACATAACTAGAAAGTTAGAATACCACTACACAGTTAACTGGCCAGTAAGTAAAAAAAGCTACCATAGAGAGTATCACTAAAAATTCTAGAACAACACTGATGAGCATGCAGACCCAAGTCTCAGAATATCCAAGGTACATGATTAGTATCAAAGATGGCAGCTGAACAGTCACATTTCAAAGTTAACATCATGGTTTATAAGTAGTTAAAATATAGATGTTAAGTATTATTTAAATTGGTCCCTAATCATATCATTTTTTCTTTATTCAAAGCTCCTAACAAAGAGATCAATTCTCTAAAGACCAAGGCAAAAGGGCTAGGCTAGTCAATTTTTGTTCGCACAGGTGGCTCAGGAAACAAAATTTCTAAATAAAATCATATCTAGCATTAATAAAATGCTGTGAATATTACTAAAACCTAATCTTTTTTTGAACACATTATTAGTTTTTTTTTAATGCTACATCTGTATATACGGAACAGCATGCTAATATATATTATAATATCCACTTAGCATTGACTGTTTCAAACATTTCTCATAAGAAATGCCTTATAGTTGAAAAAGTTAATTATCATCCAGATATTTGAGGTCCACAGCATTTAAGCCAAGTCTGAGAAGATGTATTTAGAAGTCTTTCACACATATTATATTATTTGGAGACCCCTTAACTGGTATCCTAAAGGTTTCTAAGATGTACTGATCTACAGATATTTTGGTGTCTCACCATTTTTAAACATCTGAGGTTCTGAGTGTGTGTGTGTACATGTGTATGTATGCATACACACGTGTGCACTTTCTGCCCCAAGTCCCCCAGCTGTGCAAAGTAACACACTTCACAGATGACTGCTTGGAACATTCTCTGTGAACGAACCTGTTCTCTTTCCACTCTCCTCTTTTCTTCCTCTGCCCGTCTCCTCTCTTCTTCTTCTTTACGCCTCCTCTCCAATTCTTCCAGACGCCTCTTTTCTTCTTGTTCTCTCCTCCGCTGTTCACGTTCTTGCTGCCTTCTAGCTTCGCGCTCTCGCCTTTGTTGCTATATAAGTAAAAATGTATATCAGGGATTTCCAGCTATGGCTCTGGTGACAGTGTGCTGATCAGTCACAGGTGGATGACAAAGAGAGGTTCGTGGGCCCCATGTCTACCAGCCAATTATTTCCACATTGCCCCTCAGCCCCATATATAAGGCCTTCCTTATAAATACTGGTCAAAGGCGCTATGTTTCTGTGAACCCTTATAGGATTTGGTTTCATTACGATAACAATTATTCCCCACTGCTCACTATACCACAGCAATTAAGGAGCAGAAAATTAAGAAGATATTATTGGGCGTCATTAACAGAGTCATCCAGAGATCTTAAGTCAAAGAAAACTACCTAAAGAGAAAGAAATAAAGGGGAATAGAAATACAACAAAGAAAGGGAGACATATAATTTAAAAAGGGGGGGAAAAGAAGCACACAGCAGGAAAAGAGGAGGTAACACCAACAAGAATAAAAAGGACCATTATTATTACTACAAATATTTTTAAAACTGCTTGAGCAAATGCTTACTACTATGTACCTGGCACTGCGCTAAGTATTTTGTACTTTTTTATTATACTTACTTTACCTAAAATAATTACCATAACAACCCTAGGACATCAATATTTCATCCCCACTCTAGAGACAAGAAAACAGGTTCAGCAACGTTAAGCGACCTGCCCTGTGTCACCAGCTGAAAGAGCTGCTCTGCCTCTAAAGCCTCACACTACCCTGCAGCCCATCAACAGGTGTCAAAGGTGCTTCTCCATCGCCAGACTCACTCAGTTCGCCTTTATTGATCTAGGCTCTTCTATGCAACCCTACAGCACAGAGCAACATGACAGACCAGGCATACAACTGACAGCTAGTCTCATCTGGCCCAAGGTTTTCTGCCGGTATAGCACTCATGTAGTGCACAACACAAGAGTAACTAACTCTACCCATGAGTATGCAAAATGCGAGGCTCTAGACTAGGCTAATGAAGATGTTTCAGAACTGCAGTCACTAGTCACGTGTTGCTCATGACCACCCGAGAATCTGAGGTTTTAATTTTGTTACACTGAAATTTAAATTTAAATGGTCAAATGTGGCTAGTGGTTACTGTACTAGACAGCAACAGCTCTAGAGGATGTACAACCATCAAATTTCTTTTGTATCTTTTTTCTTTTATATCTTTAAATTTTTCAATACAGGAACCAAAACAACTCATTTTCACCAGTACATCACTTACAGTAAGTACAAGAACACAATCATTTCTCCACCTCTGGTAATTAAAAATCATTCTATTTTGCCGAATGAGAAAAACAGGTTTCTGAAAGTAGGAACAGTTCTAAACACAAGTTATTTAGGTCAGGTGCAGTGGCTCACACCTGCAATCTCAGCACTTTGGGAGGCTGGGGTGAGAGAACTGCTTGAGCCCAGGAGTTTGAGACCAGCCTGGGCAACAAAATGAGACCTCGGCTCTACAAAAAATTTTAAAAACTAACCAGGCGTTGTGGTGCTTGCCTGTATTCCTAGCTACTTGAGAGTCTGAGGTGGGAGGATCACCTGAGCCTGGAGGATGAGGCTGTGGTGAGCCATGATGGTGTCGCTGCACTCCAGTCTGGGCAACAGAGTGAGATTCCAACTCGGGGGAAAAAAATTTTTTTTAAATACAAGTTATTTGATTCCATTAGATATTTCTGGTTAGCTACATGATTCAGTTTAGACATCTGTCCCTCCAAACCTCACAATGACATGTGACGTCCCAAGGCTGAAAGTGGGGTCTAGTGGGAGGAGACTGGGTGGTGGGGTAGGGGGGATCCCTGAGTGGCTTGGCGCCCTTCTTGCAGTAACGAGCAAGTTCTAGTTCTATTCATTAACCGAGAGCCTGGCACCTCCTTCTCCTCCCCCTAATTCTTGCTTCTCCTCTAGCCATGTGACACACTGGCTCCTTCTTTCCTTCTACCATCATTGTAAGCCTCCTGGGCCTCACCAGAAGCAACATGCTTCTTGTACAGTCTGCAGAACCATGAGCCAAAGAAATCTCTTTTCTTTATAAATTACCCAGCCTCGGGCATTCCTTTACGGCAAATGTAAAATGGGCTAACAGTTTCCAAAGATAAACATATTCTGTGTGTTTACTTTTGTGCAAAATACATGATGCAGGACAAAACAAACACACTTTCGATAAACTTGAAGCTAAAGTGCTTCATCTGTCATTGGGTTCATTTAAAGTTGAAAGCCTCCTGAAGGGGTGGTCTCAGAGCCTCCATCCTGCGGAGCTGCTTCACACCCCGTGTCTCTAAGGTGGCAGGAAGTGCTGAGAACAGGGTGCACACACAGCCTGTGCCTGATGCTGATGGTGCAGGTTCCCAAGAGAAACCTGCCAGAATCCACTGGGTTTAGCAAACACCTGGCAGGTCAGGCAGGAAGGGCCCCACCTTTGGATGGAAAAAAAAATCCACAAACACAACAGAGGTAAGGCAGGGAGCCACCCACATGTATATGTAAACAATTCTGTCAAAATCAGTCAGACGAAAGAAAGAAAAAGGCAACAACTGTCTACACCCTTAGAAGCACTACCTTCAGAGACTTCAGGGTCTAGGACAATCAGATTAATGTTTAGGTCAGAGGCAAGGGTCTTCAGAATACACTGAATGTTATAACTTTCCACACACGAAGTAGCTCACACAGGTTAAAGAGGCTCTCTGGGAAGCTTAGTATGCACTGTGGATTCCTAGAAAGGAAATGGAAACGACTCCAGGGATGGTGGTTCTGGCCCTGCTTGTGTCTCCCTGGTACAAGCCACTCCCCACCTAACTTGTCAGGACACAGATGTGTGTGGGTGGGGTCTAGGCTGAAATCATCCCGGTACAGAGTGGCAAAGCCACACAGTTTGGAAGTAGTTGACAGCTGGTGTCCCAAGTAGGGAAAATCTTTAAAAATGTTTCTCATAAGCAATGAAGGACAAGAGAATCACTCCTCCTGGAGGATGGGGCTTTCCCTCCCTTGACCACCAGCCTGGGGGTGAGCCTGGGTGCAGACACGAAAGAGCAGTAGCAGGAATGAAGAGCTGAATGGTCTGTCTCTATGTCAGCAGTCTCCAAAAGAGAGCCGGATACCACTGCGCACAGAGGTCCCCTTTATCCAAGGTTTCGCTTCCAGGTGAAAAACTGCAGTCAACCACAGTCTAAAATATGAAATCGGAAATTCCAGAAATCACAATTCCTAAGTTTTAAATTCCACACTGTGTGAGCAACGTGATGAAATCTCAGAGTCCCACTCCACCCCTTCATATAAGGGTGAGTACAGTACAGCAAGATGTTAAAAACAGGAAAGCCCAAATTCACGTAACTTTTATTATAACATATTGCTATAACTGTGCTATTTTATTATTAATTATTACTGTTAATTCTTATTGTGCCTAACTCACAAATTAAACTTCATTACAGGTAGGTATACATGTGTAAGACTTGCTACTATCCACGGCTGCAGGTGTATCCTGGGAGTCTTGAACATATTTCCTGAGGATAAGGAGGGAGGGATACTGCATAGGAACAAAAACTAAAACTTTTATTTATTTATACTTTTATCTCATCCTTTAAAACTATTTTGTTTTATAATGCACATAATTAGTACAACAGTTTGTGAGTAGATACACCTCTGATGAACATGCTCAGTTTCTTTTACTGATCAAAACTTTTGAGCAGAGTGAGTGCACTCGCGTCACACTGATTCATACTAATCTTCAATTAATGCCCCTGTCTTAGAGTATCTCTTCCCATTCTCAGCTGTACCTGATTTCTCCCATGTTTCTGCTGTCCACTTTTCCCAGGTAGCGTTTACCTGCTCCTGCTGAGGAGAGGAGCACAGCAGACCAGCTGCATTGGGTGAGGGAATCTAACTGCGCTCCTGCATGCTGTCTGTCTGTCTCTCTCTCTCTGTGTGTGTATAATTTCCTCTCCAATAAATCTCTTGCTGTCAGTCCCACCTATTACCTCCTATTTCTGACTCATCCAGAGTTTGCAGTAAGATTCAGCCTCCTTATAGACTGTCCTCTTCCATGCACTATCTAATTTCCACAATTTGGTCTCTTTTCTTTTTTCATTGTCCCCATCTTTATGTTATTTTAATTTTTTCATAGTCATTTTAGTGGGATTTTTCGATGAAAGCATCAAATTGTTTTTGTTCAACTGTTCCTCAAACTCTATATAATTACATTTTTATTCAATTAATTGAAATTTATAACTTTAATTAAATATACACTATCAAAGAGAAAAAGCAACAACAGGACTGGCTACCTTAAAAATCTCAATTGTCAAATGAAAGCCTCAGATGACTTTCTCTTCTAAGTTTCATGTAAAAGTACCATACTTTTAGTGACTAGATCAACACTAAAAAAAGGTTGTGAACTCCTTGAAAGCAGGAATCACGTCTTATCATCTTTTCCCCATCGTACGTTTCACACATCCCTTTCAAAAGAATGCAATACCTTCTTGAATAAAATTTAACCATCACAACTGGCACATGACATCCAAAACAAAAACTTGCTATCATTTTATTCAGCAGTTCGTATCTAGAGAAATGAGCCTCTAGAATCACAGACCACTAGATTCCATAAAATCCAATCAAGTCCTAAAGCAGTCTTATCAAGATCACCAAATGCAAGTGCACAAAGTCTTGAACAGTAATTATTATACAGGATAGTGCCCTATACTTTTAAAAACACATCCTGAAAGTCTCTGGATAGTCTGGAAGGCCATTTGACAGTCTAAGGTAGCTCTGGGACTCAGAGATTAGAGAGCTCAAGCCCAAGGGTTCATCTTCAAGTGGGCATAAGTGTGAACAAGTCCTTTCTTTCCAGAGAAACACAAAAGACTACAAATGACTGACTCATCCATTTGAGAAATACAAGGGGGATCCACCCCAAGAAAAAACTGGAATTATCTTTTGGAGGGTGGGCCCCCTGTAGTACACTTGAAATCTATTCCTTCAGATCCAACAGTCAACCAAAGTTTTTATCTGGAAGTTTTG